ACAGATGGTGATTGGAACATGTGATCGACTGATGAGGGAAGGGATGGTTTTTGGAGTTTTGATTTACTGAGGGAAAACTCGGACCTCTCAGATTCGGGTTTTCCCAGATGTGTCAGTTTACCTATTCTAGTAAATAGAACTTTGAAAAATGCTTGCTTCAGAGTTTTTACTAGGAGTTGGGGTTTTTTTGGAACACTGACAGTCACTTCTCATCCAAGAAGCTTCTTCAGAGAGAGCTGAAGAAGCTTCTTGGATGAGAAGCGAAAGGTCTTCAAAGAAAAACCAGAAAGTCCAGTTGCCTCTTGAAAAAGCACCTTTGGACTTGACAGTCCAAGACACTAGGAAGATCCCTTCTGAGATGTTTGCCATGCCTGCATTCCTTCTGTGGGATAGCTGCCTCTTGTCTTATCCAAGGTCACTCCCACATACTATTACAGTTTGCTGCCACCTAGTATTTATTTGGATTTGTGTAGCTCAGATATGGGAGAATGAAGGCTCTTTCATTCAGGTAGCAAATGATCTGAAGTACCCCTGGATTTGACCACTTCAGTTCTGTTGGCTGTTGTGTAATCTTTTCTCTCTTCAATGCCAGGCCAAATTCTTCCTTTGTAATTTATAGCCACCTGATGCCTTAACTTATTAAACTGGGGTCCCTGCTGATCTCATTTACTATCTTTGTTTATTAACCTGGACTCCTATTGATCTTACTGATTACTATGTAGGACTACCTTCATAACTTTCTATCCAAACTGCTAATACCTTGAGATTCCAACTAATATTATGCTGAGATTGCGAAAAAGCTGCACAGATTTATGAGTGAATTCACCCATAAGATTTAGGATTGCTTTATTATTTTCCCCAGAAGCTTTTGACGTTTACTCATTTAGGTCTCGTATAATACAAAATCTCCCAGCATATGGGCAATACAACATACCTCTTCTGCAAAATCAAGGAAATGTTTAGCACAGGTTAAATACAGAACTATTGTGGGTGATTTTTGAATGATTTAAAAGCAAACTCAAATTGGTGTGACATCATCTTAATTAAGATTTTTTCTGGGTAAAAAATCTGAAGTCTTTGTGGCACGCTCATGTCAAAAACAGCATCTAATTGATAATTGTGTTTAATTGTTTTTAATGGCTGTTCTGTTTGTTTGTACACTGCCCAGAATCACATTTAGTGAGATGGGCAGCTATGTATCTTAGTGAAATAAATGTTCATACATATTTAGAAAGGCAACACACAAGAAGTTATTTTTTACGTGCAATTTTGCTGTGGTTTCCATTTATTTCCTCTAGAATCTCATATTTATATATTTACATTGCATATAGAACCAATTCATTTTTTTCTGACTGTAATTTAATGATATCATTCACAGACACTCTCTAAATTAGGAGCGGAATAATTTTGAGAAGAGACTCCATTTGATGTAGTGATTAAGGCATTGGCTGGAAATGGGAAGACCATGAACCTTAGTATTACCTTGGATAGGAAACAGCTGGGTGACCTTGGGCCAGTCACTTTGTCTTAGCCCAGGAAGGAGGCAATGGCAAACCACTTCTGAAAAATCTTGCCAAGAAAAGTGCTTACTGTATGATGGGAGGAAATACCACTCTTAAGGACTAGATTTAATAGTTGAAAAAAATAACCTGGAAAACATGATGGTGTCCATGTTATTGCTAAGAAAACAACACTGACTTGTCCTTGTAGTCACCAGGAATTTATCTGTTTACTTTTTAAATAGAAATATTGTGTTATCAATCTCTGACTTGTCTTAACTACAACATTCTCATTCAGTTTGTGTACAGAAAATTAGATATACAGCCGATGCCTTAATCACTACACCAAACTGAGTTTCTTCTCAAAATTATTGTTCCTAATTTAGAGAGTGTCTGTGAATGTTATCATTAAATCACAGTCAGAAAAAATAAATCGGTATCTATAGGCAATGTAAATATGAGATTCAAAAGTTCTATATTTAGAAAAAATATATTGCTATTTAAATAGAAGTCTACATTAATATAGTGCCTTCCTTATCTTCCTTTCCTTTCCTTTCCTTTCCTTTCCTTTCCTTTCTCCTTTCCTTATTTTTTTTTCTCTTTAAATTTATATTGCATGTTTGCTTTTATTATCGTACAAAATTTCTTAATAATCCACTTTATATTTTATATCTATAAATACAAGACTTTCTGGGAAGTGGATACACTACGGCCTTTTACTGGAAATCCAATGCTGGTTAGAATAAATCCGTTTCCACCTATCTGATTCTCTTCCAAAACTGCTGAACTGCAATTCTCACCATCATCCCCTATGGCCACTCTACCCAGAAACCCATCCTATGCAGTGCTATAGTTTTGTTGTAGTACATAAGCATATCATATAGTAGGTGAACTTGCTGTGCATTAAAAAAACTTGTCTCATGACTGCCCTACGAAGAAGACATTTTGGGTTGCTTTCGTATGCTGTGAGAAAGGGCTTGAGTGAGAAGGTCCAACAAGGTTTTATTAATTCAGAAGGCAGCAAATGTAGAGTTGATAAATTATTGATAGCAGAACTATGCATATTTTAGTAGTGATCAACCCCTTAAGTGTTCACTTGGGTATCACATACTTTTGATGTGTAACTCCTTTTTACTCTTGAGTCCAGCAAGGTCTTCTGCACATCAGCAGTCCAACTGCTAGATGTCCATAGAGAACATTCCTCTTGACTTCAGCATTCCTTTTCCCTGTTAATGCTAAGGGATGATTAAACACTGCATTTCCATAAAGCTGCAATATAAACAGCTATGTATAAGCAGATAACTAGATTAGTTGCCATGGGAACAGAAAATACAATGTCAGAATGAAATTGAATGAAATCTTTGATCATCTAGAAATGAGCCCCATCCTATCAAAGTACAGCTTTCTTCTCCATTAGCTATATTTTTTTTTCTATTGCCTATCTTCCAGTTTTTCTTCAATTTTCATTCATATTTGGAAAACTCAAAAGCAGATAAAGCAAACCTAACTCTCACATCTCCCCGCCCCACCTGTACTGTGGAACTAGACTGAAATCCACAAATTTGCAATGTCGTGGTCATCTTTCTAGATTGAGAAATAAAATTGGAACAATGAATTATAGATTTTGAAGCCATTCTCTGTGATACTAAACCTGGGCTTGCAGTCAATAAAGCTGTCAAAAATCAGCTGATAGGATGCTGATTGGTTTCCATGGCAACAGATCTTCTGCCTCGTCACTCTAGCAACAGAGATCTGATCACCTTGGAAGTAAATTTGGGCATCTTTACAGCTGATCACATAAAGCTGTCTCCCCAGGCTAAACCTGGTCCATTTTATCCTTTCTGTATCTTTTGGATTCTACTTCAGACAATGTTTTTGTTTTTCAACAATAGTACAAAGTTGTGCATTTCGGCATATGGTGATTTGAATTTAGGTCAGTATTTCAATACTGCAGTAAGATAATAGCATTATGGGGGATAGATTTTAAGGAGATTAAATTGCAGATGGATTTTCCTGTTCACTTCTAAAATAGATGACCATTTAATAAGCCACATCCGTTCTTCTGGTTTTTTTCCCTCTGATTTATTTTGAATATATTGGGTGTTCTTTCTGTTTTTTACACTCATGCTGAGCTAGATTTTCCTGGCCCTGCTTGTGAATCTTAATTTGTGGCTGAAACTACTCAGTTTACAAATTGTGCATAGAATCTTCTACAGAGATTAGTCAATTTAACAAAGATAATGTAGTTAGGCTTCTCCCCCTTGGGAGTTTACTTGAAGTTTATTTATTTATAATTTTCCCTACCTTTATTATTTTATAAGTGACTCAATGCAGTGAACATACGTACTATTCCTTTCTCTTCATATGGAATGCGTTTGCAACATACATTTGTATCCTAATTAAGGAAATAAACTACACAATCATGGTTTGATGTAACATACATTTTAGCTGAACTTCTATTTTTTTCCACAGCCAAGTAAATGTTTTAAGGAGTATTTATATATAAAGCTCAAGTTGGTTTTCTGTCTGAAATACCATAGTTTCTTATGACAGTGTATCTTCTTTGTATAAGTGGGCAGATCCATCCATTTGTCTATTAAGGGAAGACAATACAGAGCATTTAGCTGTTAAAAAATTAGATTTAAAGCCATTACTGGTATTTGCGGTGCTGGATTAGGATGGTCAGGATTGGCCACAAGTGAGGGGTCAAAATATCAGCATGATAGCTGTGATTGAAGCTCCATCCCCTTTTACATTTGACACACGGAAAAAATTGAGGGGTTTTAATCACGGTCGTTGCCACCATCTTGATTTCTCCCTGCTATACACAAGCGCACACACACACGTATATTGGCCATAATGGCCACTCCAGAAATTTGCTGTCTCTTGTTTTTTAATTGCTCTGTTGTTGGGAGCAGTACCATCATATGTATTTTGATATATTAACAGCACAAAATTTGTACCTGTTTTTTAAAAAAGGAAACCTTTGATTTTCTGTCTCTTGTAAGAAAGGAAAGGAAAAAAAGGAAAGGAAAAGAAAAAGGAAAGGAAAGAGAGGAGAAGAGGCGAGAGGAGAGGGGAGGGAAGAGGAGTCCCTGCAGATTTTACACTATTAGTTGTTGCTCATGGGCTTGAAATGCCTCCCCCCTTTTTTTTTTGGATTTGATTTATATGCCGCCCTTCTCCGGAGACTCAGGGCGGCTTACAATGCGTTAAGCAATAGCCTTCATACTTTTGTATATTTATACAAAGTCAGTTTATTGCCCCCACAAACTGGGTCCTCATTTTACCTACCTTAGAAAGGATGGAAGGCTGAGTCAACCTTGAGCCTGGGGAGATTCGAACTTGCAGTAATTGCAGGCAGCTGAATGTTAATAACAGGCTATTAGTCTGCTGCGCCACCAGGCTGGTTTTCTTGTAAGAAAAGATAAAATATATTTAGTAATATGGGGAAAGAAAGGAACAAACACTCTGGGACACACAAATAAGACTCTACTTCAATGCGGAATTAATATTCATTTTTAATGATATTAGCACAATAAACTCACACAGTAGCATTGAATTTTGTACTTATTTAACAAAATACATTTATAGCAATTTACAAAGTTTGTTTTTTGTTTTTTTTTAAAACAGTGCATTACATTTTATTAGAACACAATACTTTATATAGAATTCTCATTTAAAAACATATTCTGTATTTTACCCAATTTTATTTTCTTAGTAAAGCACAGCCTAACAAAGAAATTGGTGCCCCTTTCAGCAAGTAAGAAAAAAACTCGAAGATGCCACCTGTCAATTTGATTTGTTTTGAAATTAAGGTATCAGTGGAATGTAAACAAAGATTTGTTTTACAAAAGGCTTCACAGATGATATACAACCAGAAGTTAGAATCTCAATGTATATTATTATTACACTTTTTGTTCTTTAATGTAATTACTGAGAAGCCGTTATTAAAAAGAGTAGCCTTTGGCACTTCTGTGTAAAAAAGTATTTTCAGTATTTTAAGTAAAGAATGTAATTTCAATGATTTTGCAAATGCTTTTAAAATTGTTGGCTGGTAAGTAGGAAAAGTTTAGATAGGAAAAGTATCGCTGCCGTTGAAAGAGTGCAGCGAAGTTTAGAGTCCAAGTAACAACTCACAATTATTTATATGTGGTTGGCTAACTAAAGCAAAGCAAGAAGGATAATTAAAGAAAAGCAACCACTCCCTCCAAAAACATAAACATGCAACAGAAAAAAAAAGAGATGTTATCTAGAATGGCTATTTGGAGTGCTTGTATTATTGCAGTTGTTCAGATCGCAATCCTATATTTATTCATTGAAGTACAAGTCCTGATGAGCTCAGTTCAACTGAGAGTGGTACGCATGATGAGGATTTTATTAACATTTGTATATCATGTTTCTAGCCTAGCAATGACTGCTTGCTATGTACTGTTAAGTCTTTTGAAGACTTTCCAATTTAATAAACCAAAAATAATAATCCCCTCTGCCTTCCAGTCAACAGTTCATCAAAATTGATCGGAGTAAAAACACTTAAATCTTAGCCAAGAATCTGAATAGCCTTTCCTCTGGAGAAAAAGTTCAATACTATATTTAACATTAAATGCTGTAAATACATAGTCAATCCTCCAATCCAGCTAAGGTAAAAATGTAGCCTCAGAGCTCCAGCAAGCAGCTCCGGGGCTTCTTCAAACTAGCCACCGAATTACCCTTTTTAATGTGAGAAAAGAAGAAATTCTACAATCGTATAAGTTTGAATTATACCAACACTGAAATCAAATTTAGTGCATTTGGTCCTACCTACTTTTTTGAGTGCAGCTCATGGCATGATATTCTAATTAAAGGCTAGATGTGAGTCTCCTCTGAAAAAAGCAAGGATGCTTCACTAGGGGGACCCTTATCAAATGTTCAACATAAAGCAAGGAGCTGTTGGTACAAGAGTGCTGGACATAAAAATCAGGGGTGAAATTCAGCAGATTCTGGAGAACCAGTAGCGGAAATTTTGAGTAGTTTGGAGAACCGGCAAACACCACCTCTGGCTGGCACCAGAGTGGGGTGGAAATGGAGATTTGGCAATATCCTTTCCCCAGGAATGGGGAGGGAATGGGGATTTTGCAGTATCCTTCCCTGGCGTGGGGTGGGAATGGAGATTTTGCAGTATCCTTCCCCTGCCACACCCACCAAGCCACACCCACCGAACCGGTAGTAAAAAAAATTTGAATTCCACCACTGATAAAAATATATATTGGCTGGATGCCTGCACCCAGCAATCAGGATTGTATGGTTTATTCCTGAGCTGGATTGGGATTAGGGATGTGTGATGACCAGTTTGGGACCGGAAGAAGTGGAATGTAGGTCTGTTTCGAGATGCGTATCTGAAGACATGATTCTCATCTGTTCTAAATGGTATCGTTGATAATGCCTTCCTTTCCATCTAATCCAATGAGAGATGTTAACTCCTCAATGCTATTGTGGGCTATGCAAGAAGTAACTGCCTGCAGTGTAACTCACAATAGATTTCAGAATGATTGTCTAAAGAACGCTCTTTGTGTAGAAGACCCTGCCTTTTACAGGACTACAGGCTAAGTTTCAGCATAGTCGTGCTAGATGAAAGAATCTTAGGTAAGTGAGCTGGTAAGGACCTTTGCCTTGAGAGAGCCACTGCTAAGTGGTGGAACAGTTGCACTGCTGTTGGCTTTCTGAGCTTACAGGGATGTGGGAGGGGGAATGCAAGAGGATTTGCTGCCTTATGCTCCCGATAGAAAAGGGGATATGAATTCAATGAATAGAGTATAATAAGTAATCTGCCCCCCACTGCCATCATTTTAAAAAAGTAGTGGAAAGTACAATGTATGCATTTTGCTTTTGAAGTGCTTTTAAACACTGTTTTAATAGATAAGATAGCTTTACTGCACGATTATGACCAAAATATTCTTGCATTATGTAGTGTTTTTGTTGTTAACAAGAAAAATCAACAGATTTTCGAGAGATAGATTGGATTCCAATTCTTTCCGGTAGGATAGAAATGAGGTTAGATTGTCACTCAAAGCTCTTTGGAGGGAGAATGGAAAACATAATCGAGAAACTATTGTTGATGTTGGCCCATTTAGGTTTCTAGAAAATAAACATTTGGATTGGACCTTCGAAACGCTAGATGTCAGATACCTCTCAATTTTCTTTTCTGGCTGAGTGTTCTGATGTGAACTCCTAGATTAATGTACAGATGAGCCATTGCATTATTAGTTGGTTTTTGCATTTCCTGAATATGCTGGCAGTTTTATTAGCTTAAAAACAGGTTTAAGATGTCTGTTTTATGGGAAAATAACAAATGTGTTTTCTAAGAACCTATTTAATTTGAAATGTCTATGTAGGATGAAATAATTTATAGAGATATGGCTTATGAGGTGAAAAACGAACATAGGACGTGACATGGACCCAAAATAAATCAATTTGTCAATAATTTATTATTCTAGGAAATTCTTTGAGATATATTTTTGATAACCCATTTCATTTGGCCAGTTTTGTCCCTGGTTGGGTGGGACTCTAGCAGCATCTCACGGCTTCAAGATGTGTTCATGGTAAGGGTAAAAGAATTATATTCCTAATTGAAAATTATATTAACTGAATATGGGTACTGGTAGTACAATGCAGTACCTTTATATTTGTTTGATGATTGTTACTGGGCATGGCGTTTTTTTAAAAATAAAAAAATTAAACACTGATTGATGAACACGCTGCAAGTAGTTGAAAGGTCATTTTATATTCCAAATGACTAAAACAGGGGTATCAAACTGGCGGCTTGTGAGCCAGATGCATCACGCACAGGCCATGCCTACCCCGGATCCACAAAGGCAAAAAAGTCATGATACGTCACGTGACGCGATCGAGTTTGATACCTGTGGACTAAGAGAATCACTTCTCGGTGTGAGTGCGAGTATCAATTTTATCTGTGGTTGTCCCTAAATGACAAGACCAGCCCATCTACTGGATAGGAGAGTTATGCAATATCTCACATTGTCACAGGCCACCAGGTAGTCAGCTACAAGTTACCTCAGCCATTGCTTTCATTGAGATCAGAACTATTAAATCCTTTTTAGTATATTAGGAACTCAGAGGAAGGCAGAGGTTCAACACCGATGCAGAAGAAAGGGGGATAGGTGATCTAATGTAATCTGGCTTTAAGCACTTAAAATAGCAAACTGTCATAGGGGAGAGGATTCAGCAACTTAATTTCAGTTCTCATTTCCACTGACTATTTCACCAGCCATGGGAGATTAAGATAAGCCTATTACGATTGCTTGGATCTTCCAATCATGCTCCCTCATTAAATTCAGGTCACTTCTGGGAGCAGAAGTACAACCCAGTTTTTGGGAAAAGAATAACAGGGGTCCTTTGTCTTGTCTATGATGTTCCTATGTTTAAGGCCACGCCTGCTAATTGATTAGGCAATCTGACTTGTAAGATTTATTTGCACTGTTACAACACAGTGGCAGTGATCAGGGTGAAGTGCTAGCTAACCAACGATGAACTGACAAAAGAAAAATGTAAACTATGAAGCAAACTGAGAACCCTGTTCAAAATGAAGAATTTGAATTAGTGCCGTAAGAGATCCTTATCTTCCAAAAAAAAAAAAAAAAGCAGCACAATATTTAAATTAATCCCAAACTATCTCATTAAAAAAGCAACATCTATCTCTGTAGCACCTGTAACTGAATAAAGTTTGGAGAAAAGCAAACACTAAACTGACTCAGGAGAAAAAAAAAATTATTCAACTTTCATGGAATATCACCTTTTGTTTCTGTTTTGGTTTTTTTGGCTCCAGAAAATCTTTCAAAGAACTACACAAAACTTTTGCGATCATTTGAGATGAAAACTGCACTATAGCAAAGCTGTATTGATTCTTGATACTTTTCTATTCTAAATGATTGCAGTTAGCATGGTGTTTTCAGCTAGAATACTCGGAAAGAACTCGCACATCAAAATGTATTGTGTTTAGAGAGCTGCACAGGAGTAGAAGTTTTCTAAAAATGTAAAGTTAGAATCAGCACCGTTTGGTATTAAATTTTGGTGCAAAACCCGCAAAGATGAAGTACAACTCTGGTACAGCTTTTGCTTATTTAAAAAAAATTGCTTCCCTTTGACCATGAAATAGAGATAAGTTGAAAAGTTGGCACATTCAGGAAATAAGCGGTCTAGGTTTAAGACCGCTCTTTTTGCTGACACAGATCCCACTGGAAAAACATTTTGATTCTGAAAACAAAAGCTTGCTCCCCTTCACTAGGTTCTTGCATTGTGCTTTTTCCCCCCGCGACATGAAATTCACAAATTCATGCACAATCACTACACATCAGCAACATCCATAAACAGTCAGGCTGATGGTCAATAGTTGGCACATCAAGAATATTTCGGCATCAGCTCTAAAAATAAAGAGAGTGCAACGCTTGCACCCAAAAAGTATTGATTGTAGTGGTGTTTGTTGTTTTGGCCGAAGCACCAGCCCTCATTCTTTGTAAGCTCTTGTTGGAGATGTTCCTTTGTAGAAGATATTCCTGGTATTCTCTGGGCTGCTGCCTCTTTCGGGTATTAAAATGATATTGCCTTTTCTCCGAAGTGTCGAGTCACGGCTAGAGGAAATGGACAGGGTCTCTGAGCCGATCTCGCTGCCTTCTACAGGGGTCACTCTTATTGTGGTGATCCCATGATGATGATGGTCGCTGCCATCGATGTTGCTTCTTTTCCGATCCCCAGAACTGTAACTGTCTTTCAAAGATTCGCAGCTCTCAGAGTCTCTGTTGAGATCGTTGAGCTCGTATGTTTGGCGAAGGCTCCCTTTCTCTGGGGCTTTCCATTTCCAGGAGCCACTGCCTTCTCCTTCGGATGGCATTTGGATGATCTGACGGCTATTCTCAGGATGGGCCTCTACCCTTACAATGCTGCTCGGTTCGTGATCTGTCAAGGTTTTGTAACGGATCGCTCCTGTACAGGTTACTGTACCGCCATCAGAGCTCTTTGGGCTGCCCTGAAGGACTCCTTGTTGCTTTGACATGGCAATGACCTGCATGATCCTTGGCTGGCTGTTGCTTCTGCACCCAACTGTCTTCTCAGCAGCTTTTAACCACTTTGCTCGAGCAGAATTCGTTTTGGGAGACGTATTCACATTTTCCTGGGTCTCTTCAGGGATGTGCACAAGCTGGGAAGATCCTGGACGTGACTGAATGGAAACTCTGGGTCCCCCAGATAGGCCAACACTGTTACAGCCTGGCATGCTACCAGGCTGAATTTTCAGGTACTGATTGCTTGGACCATGGTGATCTCCATTAACACCCACTCTAGATGGCTCAGAGCTTGACCTCATTTCAATGGCCCTAGGCGGCGACTGTCCAGAATCGGTTTCAATTACCTGCAGGGACAGCTTCCGACTTTCATTCTTGTTCTTCCATTGAGAGAGGAGTTGTTTTGAGCGGGCGGAATCCATGGAGGCATGTATGGACGCGTTCCGTCGAACCGATTCCTCTACTGCAGGTGTGTTGACTCTTGGCAAGGTGTTGCTGAATGTGACCATGTTTTCCTTTCCCATCGGACTTCGTGGCATTATAATCTCTACATCAGCGTTTGCTCTCTTAAGGTTTGTCAAGGAGCCGGTGTCTCTGTGGTTCCTGTTCAACATGTTCTCCATGTGCTGAGTTGCGATCACATCATTTCCACTACCATTTTTCCCTGGTAAAATTCGATTAGGATCTTGGCTTAGGTCAGGCAAAGGTCTCAATGGTTCTCTATGTATGTTATGACTGAACATGTTGTCTTCACTTGGCAGAAAGTTCCCCACAGCATACAGACCCTGGTATTTGAAGGAGGAAAAAAATAGAACCCTTTTATGGAAAAGTAAGTATTTATAAACACTTCAGCAAAAGATAGTTAAATTTCTCAAGTGTTGTAAGTATGGAATGAACTCTTAAAACTGCTAAAGTATCAGCCAAAGGTATTTTTTTTCCATAGTGGGAACACACGTATTCCTAGCAATTATCTGGATCTGTCCCTGTTTTAGGAACCCTGTTTCTGTCTTAAAATCCCAAAGGAACAGTTTCATCAGCAGCTGGAATAGGCAAAAGAACATGAAAAGACATCCAGGCATATCTCCACTCCTTTATCACATTTCTTTACTTTTAAAAAAAGCTGTAATGTCTCAGACCAATTTCAGAAGTGTTTAAATGGATAGGCCTTTTTTAAAGCCTTCTGCCAGCTTTAAGGAACGGTTAATACAGAGGAAGGAAACCAGAATCAACGAAGTCCAGCAGTTTAATAAGAGCACAGGGATTAAGCTGCCATCAATAAGAGTTTAATTGTTCCAAGGTTATCGACATGGGCTCAGATGGGAATCCTTTCAAATCAAAAAGGTTTGACATTTTGCAGTGGGCCAACTTTCCATGCACCAATTGTTTAATCAAAATAATTTCTTTAAAAAAAAACAAAAAACCAGGAGGAACATAGCATTTGCTAGTTACTCTTGCTGTAAAATTATCTACTGATATATATATATATAAAAAAGACTAATGGGAACTAGGTTATCGTAAGCACCATGATATCCCATCCATGATTCCCAGAGCTCTACATGAGGCAACTTGTCATGCAGCTGTGTATGTAGTTTTGCTCCCGACTTCACCAATTTCATATTAAAGAGAGAGACTAATTTGCTCATGATTGCCCATGAAGGCTTATAGAGCCCTAAATACATTATGTTATCTTGTGAATAGATTATCGATGCCCTTTCCATTTTTCAAGGACATCTGTTCATTTTTAGAAGCACATTGTAGAGCGCCAATTTGAATAATGTACATGAGACATCTAAAACCACATAAAACCTCTGAATTCATAAGACATATAGGCAATTCTGAATGCCAACATTCTACTCACCAAGTAGAGAGCAATTCCACCCCCAATTAAAAAGCCACAATAAACATCCACTGGGTGGTTTTTGTACTGGGTGATGCGTGTCAGGCCACATATGATTCCGCAGATAATAAAAGCAAAGACTAGAAGTGGCTTCAGAAGTTTAGAGGAGTCGGTTAGCGTAGAATTGAAGTACATCTTTAAAAGAAATACATTTTTTTAAAAAGTTTAGTGACATTTCCCCATGGAATGGTACTCTTTCTTTTCCTGCTTTTTTGAAGGAAGGTAATAAAGGAAAACAAACAAAAATCCGTTGGGTTGTTTTGAAAGAAGAAAAAATAATAATTAAGGTGATGCTGTATGTTGTGAGATAAAGAGTCAAGGATTTTCTCCTTGCTATTCGGAATTTGGGAGAAAAATGCAACGTGACAACCATGACTTGGAGTGAAAATAACAGTGATGGGAACTATGTCTTATTGCTAGTTTGCAAATGTAATTAAAATGAATAGCTCAGTTTCTTGAGTGAATGAGTTGGGAGTGGCTCTTCCAGATAGTAACTTCCATCGAACTCTGAGTGGGACCAGCTGAGGACAAGTCAATCTTCAAAATGTCTTCTGATTCAATGGAAGGGAGAGGTGAAAGAACCTCTTTGTCACAGAACTCCAAACTCCATCTGAGTAATTTCTCAAGGTGTGAACTGAGCACCTGTCAGTATGAACCAGACAGGAATTTATTTGGAGGTGTTATGGAGGAAGAGTCAAGTGCTAAATGGAACCAGATCAGAGCTGCTTATCCCATAAAGCCTTTGGAGAAAAGAAGGAGCACCCCCCCATATTATAATAGGATAACTTCAATGATAATCTTGCCCCTCCCCCCAACCTCCATCCCTCTGTGAATGCCATTAGAAATAATCAGATCTGTCTTTTCATTCACATCACTGCTTCCTACTAATGATGTTGGAGATGTCTGAATATAGTCTGGATGAGATGACACTTTGGTTTAATAGCAGTGAAGAGCCATAGTTGGGAGTCCTCCAAATATTTCAGAAATTAAATCCTCCTTGCATTGTGAGAAAAGCTCTTGGCGGAGAAAAACATGTGCAGTCCTATGCCATGCCCACTTATCAGGAAATAAGAATAGTATGTGTCAAGAGGAATATGAGCCACCTGCTTTCATGCTGAATTTGCAGTGAGTTGGTTTGAAAAATTAGAAGACTGATATAAATACTGAAATACTGACTCATTTCTGATATTAATTTGTTCTTTGATGCCTATGGAGATTCTCAGTCATCCGGGTCATGATTATTCCAAAGGTGCTTTTTCAAAAGGCAACTGGACTTCCTTTGTTTTTCCTTGAAGACATTTCACTTCTCACCCAAGAAGCTTCTTTGGTTCTGTGGTGAATGATGGAGAATGGAAGGATTTATATTCCTTGCAGTCATCTGGTTGTCAGCATTCTTTTTGAGAGCCCTTGAGTTCACCTGGAGGTTCATCTGTACCTCGGGGGGGGGGGGGTGGTCACCTGAATAGTGCAAATGGGTGTGGAACCTTCTTGGAACTGTTGAAAGGACTGTGTGGTAAAGGAGATAGGTGGCATTGTATTCCTCCCCTCTCTGTTGAGAGAACCCACCTCTCTTTCAGTGGTGGCATTCAGCCGGTTCGGACCGATTCGGACAAACTGGTAGCGGCAATCGTGGATTGCCCCCCCCCGCCCTGGCACTATGCCATCCTATTTAGCCATGTTTTGGAGGCTGGGTGCATGCGTGGAAGACATGCGTGTGAGCAATGCGCAAGCACGGAAGGCCGGGCGCATGTGTGGAAGGCGGACGGCGGCGAACCATTGGTAAAAATATGTGAAACCCACCTCTGCTCTTTCTGTTCTCTCCTCTCCCAACAGAGGGGAAGGGATACGACACCACGTATCTCCCATTTACAACACAGTCCTTTCAGCAGGTCCAAGAAGGTTCCACACCTATTTGCACTATTCAGGTGACCCCGAGGGCACAAATAAACCTCTAAGTGGCCCCTACAACTCTCAAAGCGAGTGCTGACAACCAGATGACTACAAGGAATATAAAATCTTTCATTCTCCACCATTCGGTCAGACCTGAGGAAGCTTCTTGTTCTTTGATGGCATACAATATATTTTCAATCCTGAAAAATGTTCTTTTCATTTAAATGCAGATAAATCAGCATCATTTAATGGTGAAAGTGAAAGCTGTATATTTTTGTGACCTGTCACAAAATGTTGCTCTTACCTGGACGTAAGTCCACTGACCATGTTGGATGTTACTTAGGAGTATACATATATGACATTTATATTATTATGACTTGGCCACAGATCACTAAGCTGCTTTTAAAAGTATTTCCTCATTCCAAAGGACAGGGTATTTAATAAAAATGGTGTTTCTACCATCTCTAATTTTTATATTTTACTTATTTGAAATAATGAAATTGGGGTGATTCTTCTTTATCATCAGGCTGTTTTATACAAGGAAAGCAATGACATTCTGATTCACACACCCCCTTGTACACATTAATACGAAAAGGCTTAATTACTCACCGAAACATACACAGCTGCAAATGCTGCCAGGGTGGCGTGTTGTGAAGGAAATGACTTTCTGCAAAGGAAGGACATTCAAATTAAATTTCTCACTGAAAAGACATTCCACCAAGCCTGATTTAAAAATAACTTAAAAGCACCGGGTGGTCCAATTTGGTTACCGTGTTTAACCTGCAAGCTTGTATATTCTGAGAAATTATTATTACATTATCAGTTTGAAAAAACCCCCGACCTTTTGGTATTTTGTAAAGAATGACTGCTGTAGCTCACATTAACAAACAGTAATAGACATTTTGACTGCACTGATTAAAATCCTGAATGAAGAAAATTTCCAATTATGGCAGAATGAATATTGCATAAAGATTTGGGAATAGCTCATTTCTTGCCATTAATTTTCCCAGTGACTGGATAAGCATTGCACCCATCAATTAAAACTCTTTGACCCACTGCCCCCAAATTGGCAGCAGAATTCTTCTCCTCCAGGATTTCTATCTGTGCTTACTTGATGATTTCCTAATAATCACCCCCCAGTTTTTTAAAGATATAAAGAAATAGATATCTCAGAAAAGTACTCTGAATCTTGATCCATGGTGATGCTGGCAGTTAAGATGTTCAGCAACACAAAAGAAATCTAGAAAACCTTAATGCAGTGTTTCTTAAAGTGTGGTCCAAGGACCCCGGAGCAGTGGTGGTATTCAGCCGGTTCTATCCGGTTTGAGAGAACCGGTAGCGGCGGCTGCGGAAGGCTCCGCCCACCTGCCCAGACGTCATCATGTTCCATTTTTGATGGTCTGCGCATGCACAGAAGGCCCTGCGCGTGCTCACATTTGCGAACCGGTAGCGAATATAAGTGAATAGCACCCCTGCCCCGGAGTCCCTTACCAGAGTCTCTCACAGGTCCATGAAATCAAAATTATTTTCCAGACATTGAAAATATTTGCAAAGATTAAAACAATTTGCAAAGATTCTAACTATTTTTAGTTCTTAAAAAAATACTGGTTTATTTAATATGTTAATATTTATGTTAACATCTAACATACATTTAATATGTTCAATATTGTTTATTTCATAGGTTTAATATTGTTACTTTGACATGATTCTACAAATAAATATTCTACAAATACATCAATTTTAATTTTTAATAAGGTAAATATTGATAAATGTAACCTACAGTCTAAACTTTTTGGAGGTCCTCTATTATTTTTAAAAATGGAAAGGGATCCTGAAAGCAGAAACGCAAGAAACACTACTTCTAAGGGTTGACTGAAAAGTGCAAGCCCTCAGGCGGTAGTTAGGAGGTAGGGGAAAGGTGTTTAATTAATTATTTCATTTTTTAAAATCTTGTGGAGTAATATTTTAAGATTTCTCTCTCTAAAAAGCATTGAAAATTGTTGTAGTGAATATAACTCCAAAAGGCAACATTTAGAAAACGTTTCTTCTTAAATTCAACATCTAGCCAACCTTGGCTGATCTGCAGTGTTGAACCTGGTTAGGACTTGGATAAGGATAAGGACCACTTGGGCTAACCTGAGGAACCCTAGTGGTGCAGTGGTTAGAATGCAGGCTAACTCTGCATTCCACTGCCAGGAGTTCAATCCTGACCAGCTCAAGGTTGACTCTGCCTTCCATTCTTCTGAGGTTGGTAAAATGAAAACCCAGATTGTAAGGGGTGATATCCTGACTCTGTAAACCGCTTAGAGAGGGCTGTAAATCAATGTGAAGCAGTATATAGGTCTAAGTGCTATTGCTAAGTGCTATTGCTAAACTATAAGGTTGCCAAAAACATTTTGGAAGAAGGCTTTGGCAAACCATTTCTTTACTTTTGTCAAGACAATGATAGCAATATGTCCATGAAGTCACTTAAAATCAAAGTCCACTTGAGGAGACTTAGATGCACTCAAGCAAAGTCTAGGATGTATCAAAGCTTATGCATGAAGACATCTGTACATGAAAATTATCACTAGAGAACACACAATAACCTATTCTGAGATAGGCATTTTTTTAAAAAATATTGAGGCATTCTCAAAAACAATTACTGTAAATCTGGGAAATTGAAATAAGATTTTTAGGGGTTCCCCCCCTTCTTTTTAAAGAACTGTCTTCTTTCAAAATTAGACTTTATATATTAATGTTCTCTGATAAAAGAAAGCCATGGGCCTCATTTTACCTTGCTATCTGCAAATGCTATTATGGTATCTAAATATCTGTTTATAAATCACTTAATTTTATGCATGGTGATTACTCTTGGAATCAGTGCAGGTAATAAAATGGATGCGCAGAGAGGTATTCACATCTCCTTTGCAAATTCTAAATGTGCATTTTTCTTAGAACATTATATTAAGCATTTGGGGAAAGAGCATAGGAGCAGGAAAATATTGTTCAATTACTGCCTAGGCCAGGGGTGTGGGCAACTGTGGCCCTTTTACAACCTGTGGACTTCAACTCCCAGAATTCCTGAGACAGCCAAGCTGGCTCAGGAATTCTGGGAGTTGAAGTCCACAGGTCATAAAGGGACCATATTTACCCACCCCTGGCCTAGGCCTATTATTAGGGAAATCTTTCTCATTATTGCAACCCATTTTGTTGACAAAATTACCTTTTTTAGTAAGATACAAACCCCTGCAATTGTAACCCGCTTATTCACTGTCATTTTCAAGCAACTGAAATGTCCATTCATTTTGTAATTATCCTTACTTATAAAGGTAGTCCCTGACTTAGAACCATTCGTTTAGTGACCCTTCGAAGTTACAGCAGCACTAGAAAAAAGTTGCAGCATCCCCATGGTCACGTGATTTACACGTGATGTAAATCTGGTTCATAGTTATGGCGGTTTCAGTGTCCCAGGGTCATGTGATCACCTTTTGTGACCTTCTGACAAGCAAAGTCAACGGGGAAGCCAGATTCACTTAACAACCATGTTACTAATTTAACATCTGCAGTGATTCACTTAACTAATGTGGCAAGAAAGGTCGTAAAATTGGGCAAAACTCAGGTAACAAGTTTCTCACTTAGCAACATGAATTCTGGCCTCAATTGTGGTCGTAAGTTGAGGCCTACCTGTAGTTAAGCAATTTTTTGCTGTGAAAACCAAAAGCCTTATGAGAATTACATAAATTCATCTCTGTAGAATTCTACCCTCTTTAATCTGTTTCTAAATATGCTATTTCTTGGGTATGCTAATATATGGCAGAACACAGCCAAGGGGTTTGATCCACCTTAACTCAGTAGAAGTAGAGGAAAAAAGACCAGCTGCCTTTGTTTCATTCCAGTGTCACCTACGTGTCAATCAGTCCAACAAAGGTAATTTACCTGAAGGTAACTACCTTCGTCCCAGCTAATTTTGATACTAATTGTAGCTATCAGGCATCACATCGTGCTTCCTAGAGCTGGAGGGGAATGACGGAATGGACACTTGGGCATTTCACTTCCTGCTTTTGGCTAATAATTAAATTGGCAGCTACCGTAATGCATTAGGGTTGTAGCTAAGAGCAAGGTAAGAGAAACACAGCTATTCATCCCCTCTGCTGCGACTCCAATGTCCTTGGGTTCTTCCCAAATGTCATCCTGAAAAAGCCATTCCAAAATTGACCGAACTACATTTTCCCCCATATGATTTCAATCAAAACCTGTAACCTATAAAAAATAAGACTTTTTGGGGGGGGGGGGCTTGATTCTTTTCTCTTCATCTCTTGCAGCCTCCTTTACCCCGTGTGTCACATTTTATTTTTATATACAGAAAACTGGCTTCCTGGTGATAGTCGCAAGCAACTTTAGAAGTCGTTTTTGTCTGAAGAACACACTGAAATATTCTATGTAAATTACAAAGCAAAGGCTCGTCTTGTGGAAAAGCAAAATATGCAGACAAATACTATAATCAGCCTGACAAGGATGTACATCCATGATGAACAAGAGATAACAAATACTGAATAACATACAACTAATTATGTTTCTAACCTGCCGTCATTGATGATAATGGGATCAGATCCTGAGCAAATATCCTCCACAATGTAAGAATTTTCTGAGCACGATACGTTGAGGGAAGTATAATTAGGTTTGCATACAGTCAGGAAATACGGTGTTTGATATCCAGTTGACAGCTGTATGATATCAGTGACGAGTGCAGTAGCACAAAGGCCAAAGATATGGACACCTAGAAATGGAACAAAAAAAAAAATGATTACACTTTGGTTAATGGAAAGCCAAATGGGTCACTAAGCACCCAGTTATAGGGAGACATGTAAATGACCCCACAAAAAAGGTGACAGGCTTTGAATTACCGCATCAGCAATAGACAACCCTGAATAGGATTCGCATCTCACATGGTGTTGTGGCCCGTACGTGGCCTGTACAGCTAGTAGCTGATTCAGACAGCGAGGAGGCTGGTGTGGTGCTGCGCCAGCAGCCTGTGCAGCTGGCACTCGAGTCGGACAATGAGGAGGCTGGATAAGATGTGGTGCCAGAGGCGGGGATTCAGCCAGGGCCTTCAGAACTTCCAGAAGCTCCCTTAAGTGAAGAGGACAAAGAGGAGGAGCCTCTTCTCGATGCACGGGCGCGCAGAGCTGCCAAAAGGCAGGAGTGGCTCCTCAGGAGGAGGTCTCCTTGAGAGTAAGGCTTGGGGCTAAATGGCCACTCTCTTAGCCTATTTAAGGAGGAATGCCAACTGAAGCAATTTGCAGGGAACAACTTAGTTCACATACCTTTGTGTTTTGTCTTGCTTATCTTATCAGCTTCCTGCAAATTGCTTCTGGGCATTCTGCCAACCACAGTAAGCTTTCAGTTATTATTCTTTGAATTCTTGGCGCCACAGTAAGCTTTCAGTTATTATTCTTTGAATTCTTGGCGGCTGTTAATGCAGTTAATTAACAGCCGTTGTTGTAAAAGACTGGTTTATTTAGTAAAATAAGGTTCGAACGGACTTTGTGTGTGCTGCGTTCTTTGGGGTCCGTAGCTGGGGCAAAACACATGGCATCTTCTGGGGCTCTCTGTATAAATGGGGCATAGTATCCTCCCCTCAGTGTGACTGCGGGGTCCTATGTCAAACTGTAGATCATATTGTGATCTACAATCTGTAAGCTGAGGGCATATACCGGTCCAATATTTGATTTTTTAAATATAAACAATGCTGCACTTCAATGGTTAGGTGGCCTAGACATTGAACATAGATCTTCTTGACATTTATATATTATTGGGTTCTACTAATCTAGTTGAAATATAGTTGAAATGTTAATTTATATTGCTAGTCCATGTATGATATGCCACATGGTATGATAATGCTATGACCAATAACTTTGGTCAAACAGATATACTATTTATTCTAATTTGGGATGCCAGCTGGTGACCTCTGGGCTGGTCTAAATCAGCACACAAAGTAAAATGCCAGCTGATAATGTAATGTGGTGTTGTTGTTAGTTGCGAAGTCTTGTCCGACCCATCGCGACCCCATGGACCATGTTCCTCTAATTGTTTCCATGGTGAAATTAACATGGTGTGTTATTTTAGAAGAACAATATCACGAAGCAGAAAACGGATGCTTTGTCTATGTGGCTTTTGGAGTTAATGGTGATCTTGCTGAAATGCACTGTGTCTCTGGACATTTACCTATGAACATGTAAGCACCTTACTTTCCCATAAGAAGTGAGAAATCCATGGCCCTGAATTAGAAATCCAAGCATCTGTCACTATTGGAGTGGCTGGGAGCTGTAGCTTGGCAATATCTGGAGAGCTACTTCTCATAAATCCAAGGTACGCAAACTAGCATCTTTGTTGTTAGTTGCGAAGTCATGTCCGACCCATCGCGACCCCATGGACAATGTTCCTCCAGGCCTTCCTGTCCTCTACCATCCTCTGGAGTCCATTTAAGCTCACGCCAATTGCTTCATTGACTCCATCTAGCCACTTTATTCTCTGTCGTCCCCTTCTTCTTTTGCCCTCAATCTTTCCCAGCATTAGGCTCTTCTCCAGTGAGTCCTTCCTTCTCATTAGGTGGCCAAGTATTTGAGTTTCATCTTCAGGATCTGGCCTTCTAAACAGCAGTCAGGATTGATCTCCTCTAGGACTGACCGGTTTGATCACCTTGTAGTCCAAGGGATTCGCAGGAGTCTTCTCCAGCACCATAGTTCAAAGGTCTCAATTCTTTAGTGCTCAGCCTTTCTTATGGTCCAACTTTCACAGCCATACATTGCAACTGGGAAAATCAGTCTTAATTATACGCACTTTTGTTGGCAGGGTGATGTCTCTGCTTTTTAGTATGCTTAGTTTTACCATAGCTTTCCTATTAAAAGAGCAAGCATCTTTTAATTTCTTGACTGCAGTCCCCATCTGTGGTGATCTTGGAGCCCAGGAAAATAAAATCTGTCACTACCTCCATTTCTTCCCCATCTATCCATGAAGGGGATAATGTGGTAGCACTGTAGTTATTTCTCTATATATCTGTATTATAATTCTGAACCAGTGACCCTTTTTTTTTTGCCAATCCACATGGTGAGTACTCATTCAGACAAGCAAGTGTATGGATTGAGGTGAGGCAGCCATATTGGATGCCATATATGCAGTGAAGGTAAAGCTTCATCCCAGTCTCCACAGAACTCTGAAACCCCATCAGAAAAACTCACCAACAAATCTGACAGCTCTCCTAAGGAAAGAGTTGAAATTGCAGCCGCCTGCGTTGATATTGGCCTCGGCTCCAATTCCATTCCGGCGTTTGGAAAGGCAGCAGTAGAGAATGCTCTCGCCTACCATAATCTGCAATGACAAAAGGTGGGTGCAAAGTAACCTTGGCAACGATTTGAGCAGGGTCTGGTTCAAATCAAAGCACTTATATGTAATTATTGTAGTGCGAATTTCATTCACCAAAGTATGGATGCTCGCAGGTATAGCAATAGCAATAGCACTTAGATTTATATACCGCTTCACAGTGTTTTACAGCCCTCTCTAAGCGGTTTACAGAGTTAGCGTATTACCCCCAACAATCTGGGTCCTCATTTTACCCACTTCGGAAGGATGGAAGGCTGAGTCAACCTTGAGCCTGGTGAGATTCGATCTGCCAAACTGCTGGCAGCCAGTGATCAGCAGAAGTAGCCTGCAGTACTGCGTTCTAACCACTGCGCCACTGCGGTATATATTTATGTATGTATATAGCATGTGTATATGTGTGTTACAGTGGTGAAATCCAAATTTTTTTACTACCAGTTCTGTGGGCGTGGTGTGGCTTGGTGGGCGTGGCAGGGGAAGGATACTGCGAAATCTCTATTCCCTCCCGACTTTTGGGGGAAGGATATTGCAAAATCTCCATTCCCACCCCATTCTGGGGCCAGCCAGAGGAGGTATTTGCCGGTTTCCCGAACTACTCAAAATTTCCGTTACCAGTTCTCTGAACTGCTCAAAATTTCTGCTACCGATTCTCCAGAACCTGTCAAAACCTGTCAGAACCTGCTGTTATGTAGATGTTTGGGTAGATATATACTTTCTCTTGAGAGCAGGCAACAGAATTTCATTTTTAATGTGGGCCAGTGTGCTCACAGTAAAAAGAAAATGACAATAAAGTTATCTTATCTTATTACATCCCAGGTGACTCTTAATTCAATTTTCTCAGGGGGGGTCAGGGAATATACTTCATGTTTACATGATCTTGTTTGCAAGAGGAATGATCAGATATATTGGCTGAAACAACGGTTGATCTAAGATCTCTTCCAGTTCTCTGACATTGCTTGTGGAGAATTGGATTGAAAGCAGAGAATGAATATGTTCATATGTACAAACAAAACAAAGGGGTATATACTGCTATCATTGTGAAACAATATGTTACTTTCAAAATTGACCTCTGAAGTAGTTAACTTTGGGAGAAATGCTCAGGGCTGCTAAATAAACTTTGAAGAGTTGAACTTAGTTTTGCCATTCTGAAAATATTCCTTCTCTTGCTTGGTGCTTTCTAGGTGTGTTGGACTATACCTGCTACTGTTTTGAGAGGTCAGTGCTCATCACAGCAGTCAAGGCTGGGCTGAAATTACCTGTTTCACTTTGTATTAGCTTTACTGACTCATGAAAACACTTCCCTGTGTTGGCAATTTTCAACGTTAGCTCTGACTATCTTTAAGACATTTTTAGTAGCACTCCGTTTCCCTGAATGGAGTTTAGTAGCAGTACCGTTTCCCTGAAAATAAGACATCCCCTGATAATAAGCCCAATCGGGCTTTTGAGCTCATGCACTAAAATAAGCCTCCCTCGAAAATAAGCCCTCCCTGAAAATAGTTAAATGCAGAGCTGGAAATCAGGTAAGACAGCAAGAGGAGCCCCATCTTACTCCATACGCCCCAAAATAATAAGACCTCCCCAAAAATAAGGCCAAGCACTTATTTCGAGGTTCAAAAAAATATAAGACAGGGTCTTATTTTTGGGGAAACACCGGTATTTTTGGCTTCATTTCCATTCATTTCTATCACATTTGAGTAGCTAAACAGATTTGACTAGTTTTTGGCAATTTTGTTCCATTGAGCATGATATTGGCAGAGGTGCCCACAATTTTGTGAGTAGCTAAGAAGCAACTACTACTTCTTGCAGAGAGCAACTCTGAGATCTCAAAGTTAAGATTATCCACAGCTCAGATCAGAAGTTGATTAGATGGCTGGAGGAGGCTTTTTACGAATGAAGATGTTTCCAGAATGGCTAGAACAGGGTGTCAAACTCGATTTCAGGGTTGTGTTTGACCTGAGGGGCTGGGGTGGGCGTGGCTTGAAAACTGCATTGCTATCCTCAAATTTATGTCATCAAAATTCAGTGGAAAATATGAGGAGAAAATGAGTGGTTTGCTTCTCTGAAAACTTCTCTTCTCATTCTTATTTTAAGCAATTAAAAACTACTTCCAAAATTGATCACCAGGTTTGACAGCACAATCACAGGAAGCTACACCCAGTTCTTAGGCCACAAGCATCCTATCTTGCAGTTGTAGAACAATAAAAGTAGCTAAAGATAGGTGAAACTAACAGAACAGGGTCTGTGGTTCATGAACTGTTCAATGTATCTGAACTCCTTAGATTATCAACAGCTTGGCCTAGCTTGATTGTTGTTGTAGCCATCTCCCTATTTTGCTGAAGTCGGAATGTGATTTAATTTGGTTCTTCTGAAGTTTTGTTGCTATTTATTTATTTAATTTAGATGCCACCCATCTCATTATCCAAAGCTCCAGGTGGCCTATCTTTTGCTCACTGTTATCCAACAGATCTTACCAATGGTGAAAACTGAACCAATTTCCTACCGGTTCGCTGGCTGCGCATGCGCGCTGCATGCCAAGCGCGTGCTGTGCATGTGCATGCACAGTGTGCACCAAATGCACACTGTGTGCGTGTGCATGCGGAGTACGCACCAAAAGGAGGCTTGGGAAGGTAAGTAGAACAGCGAGGGGGGGGATCAGCTGGGACGCGTGATTTAGCTTCACTAGCTTCGAAAGCAGGATTTCCTGCTTTCTAGCAAAGCTGAACCGCGCGGCACAGCTGAACATCGGAAATACTGGTTCAGAGGAACTGGTAGCTTCAGAGGAACCGGTAGCTTTTTTCCAGTAGCTAACTACCGGTTCGATTGAACCAGTAGCTTTTTTTGCACTACTGGTTCGCCTGAACCGGACCAAACTGGTAGCATTTCACCCCTGGATCTTACAGAGGTGGCTGTTCATTTTTTAATTCTCCCCAAGAGGTATGTTAGTTAGAACAGCAGACTTAATTGCCCAATACCGAGTAAGAAGCATGAATGAATCAACTCTCAATTATTTAATATCAACTTCCTTTTTTGTTGGAAAGAAAGCAAGAAGAAACAGATTCTAGTTAGTAAGAATCACAGTATTCCCCAAGTGTTTTAGGTAAAAAGTCATGCAAAGAATATTTTCGACATATCTTTTTCAAGCATTAATTAAAAATTATGGAGGCCATTTTTAGAAAACTGCTGATGCGCTAGATCTCCTGGTATCTGTGTAATTGAGAATACAGTAGTTTGACATTATTGCTCGACCTTCTCTCAGCTGTACTACCTACCTTAATGGATTTCCCTTATTTTCCCCCACAGCAACATAAGGACGGTGAAGATAGTGTAATTCCACCATAATGTAGATAGTAAGGGGGGACTTAAGGGATTTAGTAAGCTAAATGCTATTGTCCAAATCAGCTTCCAATAACATAATGGGCCTCAGTACAACCATTATGGTGCTGGGACTTTGATCAAGAACAACTAGTGGGATTGAAAATTAATGTTTTTATTTTTACAGAATTCTCAATTGCTTTCGATCATTATATATGAAGATCTCCCTTGGAAGGAGCATAAATCAAGCCATGCAGCTGTTGATTGGGGTTTAGATACTGAATGATTTTCCACAACACAGTTAACCAATTTTCCAGCTTTGCATATAACAATGAACTGTAAGCTAAGCTGAATGGGCTAGGTTTATGTTTGATTTAGGGTTAATGAGCTGGCCTAGAAAGCAGGAGACTGTGAGTTCTAGTTCTGCCTTAGGCATGAAAGCCAGCTAGGTGCCTGTAGGCCAGTCACTCTCTCTCAGCCCAGTTCACCTCACAAGGTTGTTGTGGGGAAAATAGGAGGAAGAAGGAGTGTGAGGTAGATATGTTTGCCACTTTAAGATACTTATAAAGTAACAAGGGTGGGATAAAAAAAATCTGATAATTAAATAAATATGCCAAGCCACGGAAACACTAACTAAGTTTGAAACCAAACAAGTGAGACATGGGTGAATAAGCAGAGAAACATTTAAACTGATCCAGTGAAGCATATTATTCTGGCAACTAATACTTCTGTTTTATCTGTATGTTCCAATCCATTATTCTTTCAAGTTCAAGGAGACATACTAAAAACCTGGTATACAACCAAGTTATGAATGCCAAGATTCAGCCTTGATCACATGAACCAGCATTAAAAAGAACTAATATTAATTGACTACCCATCCAGCTGTTGAAGAGAACATGCTCTCCGTCAAAGTTTCTTTCCTATCCTAGGGGAGAACACTACTTAACAGGCAGCTTTTTAGACTCAGCTGCCCATCTCTGTCAGCACTGGATCTTTTGACTATAGGTGAGCAAACTCATCATAGAGCTCTCTGCAAATAAATAATAGGATCAATTCTTGAAGACAGGAATTGCAGATCTGAGGATCTGGTCTTCTGCTAACTCTTCTGAGCACCTGCAAAACATAAAACGAATAGGACAAATGGGAAATTCTCTAACTCACCATAATGGCAGGAGCAGCAAATGCCAAACTGAGCAACATCAAGATAGGAACAGCCTCCTGGGAAGGTTCAATGTATGGCATACTCAAACTTCTATCATAACAGCTGAATCCGGCATGTACTGGCTTGAAGACATCCGTGAGTTCAAGGAAATAGAGACTGACAACAGAAGAGGCCAGTATGGGCAGCTAAGAAAGAAACATGAAAGTTACTTTTTAAAAAACCATGTATATATTTAAGGTCTATCTTGAAGGTGTGTATATTAATAATGAACTCAGACTTTAAGAAGGCTTTAGGATAGATGCAACCTTATGCAAGAAAACTTTTGGTTGCACAGTAGGACTTCCCTTAGCTGTCCTTCCTCATGTCACTTCTTGAGTAGACTCTAAATGTGCTATACAATATAGCAAGAGCAAGAGCACTTAGACTTATATACCGCCTCACAGTGCTTTACAGCCCTCTCAAAGCGGTTTACAGAGTCAGCATATTGTCTCCAACAATCTGGGTCCTCATTTTACCGACGTAAGGATGGAAGGCCTAAGTCAACCTTGAGCTGGTGAGAATCGAACTGCTGGCAGTCGGCAGAATTAGCCTGCAATACTGCATTCTAACCACTGCACCACTAGAATGCCAAGGGGAAGAAGAAATCTCTTTCACCAGCAATTTAGGCCCAGTGGCAGATGAATTATCCACTTCATGATCATAAACCAATGTTTTTCAATCTTGCTTGCTTTAAACTCTCCACACAGCTTTAAGCTACTAAGGATGAGAAACACTGGCAGAGATAGTGTGAATGTTAAAAAAAAAAAAAGGAAAAAATCAGCATGGTCCTAAGAACAACAAACTTTGCAGAGGGAAAGTGGGGCAGGGGACTCAGGGCAAATTCATCGAGAAATTCTTGTGTATAGAACGCATATGCTCAATGGCTACAAATAAAAGGGCTTTGGGACCAAAATAAAAATATTAGAGAGCAGGTGTAGAACAGAATATCTAGGAAGCTTTTGTTTCAAATCTTCTTTGTATCAAACTATTTGCACTGATAACCCTGGATATGGTTCAAGAAATGATGCCCTGATAACCCTAGGCATGATTCAGTAAAAAGTAAGCATTTTTAAATTTAAATCCTCCATTGTGGATTAAAATGAGTTAAGTGCAGCTTAATTGTCTGTCATAACTTCATTAAATTAATGTAAATTCATAATTCTTAAGTGGGGCTAGTCACATTATTTCATTAATTTGGCATTTTATTAAGTTTGCTCATATCTTCTAAAGAAATTGAGAAATGCAATATGAGCTACAACAAAACCGAAGATCACAATGTATAATACAATACGAATAGTAAAACGATGATTAAACTCTACACTGAGCACCAACATTAGCTATTGCATATTTATAAGCAGTTCTCCTGCACTTATCATTCAGTATGGGTGGGCGGTTACCATAGCTCTTGGGCTCTATAGCAATCCAGTTAAAGGCAAATATGCACGTCCCAGGATAATGTTGCAGGATCCAATCTGGGTCAATCTCCGGGACCAGAGGTTTAGTCTTCCAAGCTTCAGACTCATGCTGGAGCCCATCCTCATGGAACTTCTCTCCCACCAGAATGTGATTCACCCAGATTGTATCCTGCAATCTAGTGAATCTTGTAGTGTGTCCTTTCTTACAAGGTCTCTTCTCTATTTGACAGCATTCTACGTAAAGATATTTTTGTCCAAGACTGATTAAAATATTAAATAAACACACAGGGTGGAAGAATGGGGTCCTTGAAGCCATCTATTCACACCTGGGCAATAGGAAGACCAGGTACACTCATAATCTACTTAAGAGTCTTTCCCACTCAAGTGTGGGATAAATATTTCTATTTAAAATGTAGTCACTCTAAATTTACATCTATGCATATAAATTGGCAAGTGCAAATTTTATGCAAATGTATATCTTTGTTGCTGAGGCACAAGTTGCTATGTTGCAACTTTACCACATTATCTTGTACAGTATACTTTGGAAGGCAGAACATTAAAAAATTAGATCAGCATTTTTTTTCCTACTGGAAAATTCTGAATATTAAAAAAGTTTAAATTGTTCCCAGAATACTCATTCATTCATGCTACAAAAAAATAAAATAAAAATCCTTCTACCAATGTTGGACAAGTTAATTCACAAATTAAAAATATAACAAATAAAAAACCTTAAATCTTCTGACTGCAGAGAGCAATGGTCACATTTATTTGATTTTTGCAATCATGATAGCGTCGATGTAAGGTTACTGTTATTTTATCCTTGTTTCATATGGCAAAGATACATTGAGCAGTTCTCTAGAATGGAATCAATTTTGAGCTCCAGCAAGAGTCCAGAAATATCTTGTTCTCATCCAAATAATCATAAGAAATCCAGTAGCAATTTTTCCAACTAACAAGGTTTATTAAAAGGTGCAGGTTTTTGTGAGCTACATGGATGAGCTCCATCCATCCATCCATCCATCCATCCATCCATCCATCCATCCCTGATCGAGGCTAGTATCTGGGTTTAAGGCCAAAAATAAACTAATCCAGCAAAATTGGTGTAAAATAAAAGTAGTGTTTTCAAATTCCATCTTGCATGCAAAAGCATGTAGCCATACCAGGGGTGTTAAACTGGCGGCCCGTGGGCCGGATGTGTCACGTGCAGGCCACGCCCACCCCAGCTCCGCGAAGGGAAAAACAACGTGATGGCAACGTGACGCAGCGAGTGTGGCACCTGTGGTTTAGACCAACTGAGAGTTCTAATCTATATTATTCATTTATTCTAAGATACCGGTTATGATAAATTAATAACATGCATTAAAGTTATCCAAATGTTTATCCCTGTCCTCCCAAAAGTCTATTCATCTTGCTGAAAGGCAAATGCCTGCATGCACACATGAAATTCTTTATTAGCATAAGTATTCATGTATCTAAAGTGCCACATCTGTGCTATTTTTGGGGGGCATCTGCATATAGAGTTTTCTCTAATACATGCATTTTGAATTAATTCTTGACACATTTTATAAGCACATTGTCCTCGTAAAATTCTCGTTTTGGATTTCTTGAAAGCTCACTCATCCAGATTCAAAACATCTGACAGCCGTTCATCAAAATGGATGTTTTGTAACGTTTATTCCAGTCCTCTTTTATTCATGATTACTCACAATTATAACTCAAATAAGTTTGATGGGGCATATTTTCAAATAAATTACGTAAGACTATGTCCTTAAAAAAACATTCCAAGTGGATGTAGAGGTGAAAATATAGTGAGCCTTTAACCATTATTGGGGTGGATGGATGGATATACACATGCAAATGTGTGAGTGTGTGTGTTTGTGTTTGTGTGTGTATATAACAACATTCAACACACCTTGGCTTATCTCAAAAAAAGATCTAAGCACAGTCAAAGTTGGTTAATATTTGGATGAAAGTCCGGAGCTAGTTCATTTTATTTTCATAAATAGTGGGATAAATACATAAGTCTGACATCATGCAGATACTTGAAGGAATAGGATCATAGGTGAACGTGAAATGGCTTCATCACGATAACTGCTACTCTTACCTACTGCTAACAATCTTCTTTCGGGCCTTTCATACGAGTTTTTCCTGTCCTGCTACCTGAAAGTGTTTATCAGAAGCTTGGGGTGAAATTGGGATGTTCTGCCAACCAAGCGCAAGTTTCCCCCCCCAACCCATTAAGGTTCTAGAGCAGGGATGGGTAATGATGGCCTTTTATGACTTGAGGACTGAGCCAGCCATGCTGGGAGTTGAAGTCGACAAGTCATAAAGAGGCCATCGTTCCCCAACTCTGCTCTAGAGCATTGTTTCTCAACTTTGGCAGTTTTCAGATGTGTAGAATTCAACTTCCAAAACTGAAATAATGTAAAATGTATTTTTTGGTGACTGCATATTAAAATGATCGGTACCATTAACAGCTTCCTTAAACCACAACTATCATTCACCCATCGATCCATCCATCCATCTATCCATGCAACCATCCATCAACCCACCCCACCCAGTTTTTCCCCGAGTATAAATGGTGAATCATCATTATGATAAACCATGAGAAGGCAAGTTGCAGCTCAGTTTAGATAATGTCACATGCCCTAGGGCAGTGATGGCTGACCTTTTTGCCCTCGCGTTCCAAAAGCAGGGGGAAGGTGGGGGGATCGCGCACACGCGTGCACACATCCATTATTCAATGCCCTCCCATGCATGCGTGTGCGACCTCCCCTGCACTCCCCCTGCTTTTGGCACACAACGGCAAAAAGGTTATCAGTGGGCCCGGTAGGCCCGTTTTTCACCCTCCCCAGGCTCCAGAGGCTTTCTTGGACCCTGGGAAGGGCGAAAACGGCCTCCTCCACCCTCCCGGAGGCCCTCCAGCGACAGGAAATGGCTGTTTCCCAACTTCCGGTGGGCCCGGAAGGCTCAAAAATCAGCTGGACGCCGCATGCATGCACGCTGGAGCTGAGCTAGGGCAACGCTCGCGTACCCACAGATATGGCTCCATGTGCCACCTGTAGCACGCGTGCCATCACAGCCCTAGGGCAAATTTAAGAATTCCTATATAAGAGACCAGTTCAGGCCTAGTTAGAATATTTGTCTCTTCCCTGTAACCTGCTGCAGGGAAAGAGGGAAGAGGAATGCCAAAAAGAGAAATCTCTCAAGACTATAATTTAGCTGTACGACACACGGAACAAAAAAGCAATTTCACATTCATGGAACAGTGTATGTGTTTCCCTTTTTGGAAATGTCACTGTCTTGGCAATTGTGGTAGAATATTGCTCAGCACCTTCCTCTCCAATGCTACTGTGTGCGACATCTAACGAACAGGAAGAAATTCTTTTGCGGAAAGGGAGAAACATTTTCACTGAACTGAAATCTTTAATTTTAAAATAGCTTTTTAAAAAAGAACTTTGCAAATTCATATCTTTAATAAGATACTATGGTTAGAAGCGCAGAGATTATCCCTAGGGGAAAGAAAGAATACCAGGCAACAGGGACCATTTCCTGATATCACAGGACAGATAATGTTACAAATTCTTGCCGAAGAATTATGAATACTTCATGGTTTTTTTTAATACAACTAGGTAAGACAAATAAGATAATTATGTTTCAAGTACACAAAGAGAAGAACATTATTTGGTAGACTAAATCCAGTAATTTGATTTAGTTGTGAATATACCCTC